AGACTTAATGTGATTTGAAAAAGAAAGAATATTTTTAGAGATTTGCAAACGTACTGAAACAAAATTCGAAAATAATAATTTAAAATATGGCTGAAGTAGATGATCATATTCTTCCGAGATATAAGCATTAGAATTTATACTGTTTTCAGATATTTCATTACAATATGTACATTCTAATGTCCATGTTATATTATCAGATTCCCTGTTAATAAAAATATTTTATGAAATACTTCATTAGTAAGCAAAATAAATTATATGATAAAAAATTACCTTATGAAATTTCCACATCCTGATAAATAACAACTTATTTTGCTCAAAGCAATCACAAGCATTTCATGAAGTTTCTGTTCTTTTGAATGTAATGCAGGTTGAAGAATGTATTTTGAAATATTTTCCAATTGTATTTCTTTATTCTTTAAAAGTAGTACACTATTCCTACAAATTTTTTACACGATTTAATATATCTTTATTATTTTATATTTATTCATATTTTATTACTTTCAGTTTTTCAAATATAATTACTTACAATATTGCTGCTGCTGCTATATCAGTTTGATAATTCATTATACATGTATGTAATATTTTTAATCGTTCCATTCCTCTTCCATATTCGCAAAGAACTTCAAGACAGATTAACATTGCAGCAGTATCAACAGATTTAAAAACTTCTTTTGCATGATTATTTATTATATCCATAGAAATTTCAATATGTTGCATAAATGGTAATGTTAATATTTTTTGAATTAAATCTTTATTTGATTCATCATGTGCTATCATGTGAATTAAACATTCAAAAATTATATTTTTTTGCTCATATTGTCCAGAATTTAGATTCTGCAACAATAACTTTAAAATATAATCTAACTCATCTGTATACAAAATCATTTCCAATTGTAATTCTTTTAACCATGATTGTAAAATACGAGATGCTCTTAAAATATGCATGGTGATTTTAAATTTTTCTTTCTGTGTTGCAGTTATTAATTCTTTTTTTAATAAATTCCATGAATCACATGTACAAATATTTGCATTAACTACATGTTTCATATCAATAAGAATATAGTGAATAAAAATGATAATGAAATCCTATAATAATTTTATATTCAATATATAACATAAAAATTTATATATTAAATATATCATAACATAAATTTAATTGTTACAAACCGGATAGTATTCAAAATATGAAATAAATTTTTTTGTTTTAGAAAAAGTATAAATTCTTGGTTTCATAATAAAATTTTGCAGAATTTTGTTATATGCAACTTTTTTTATTTGTTCTATAGCATTAAAATTGCTATAACCTAAAGATAAAATTTTAATTTATAGTCTGTTATAAAAATATAAAAATAAAAAAAATGTTAGAGTTAAAAATATTAACATATAATTAACTTACATTTTATTTCATTAATTATAAAATCAATGATTTGAAAGCATAATTCAATACCATTTGAAGATAATGGCAAAAATTGAATAAATTGAACACATGTCCATAAAAATTGATTTAACTGATTCTCGGATATATGATACAAGTTTATCCAAATAGGAAGCATTTTAATAATCTCAATAATATAGAGAATCAAATTTTCATATTCCTTAAAAAAAAAAATTTAATTTTAAGGATATATATATTTGTTAATTTTTATTAATAATATAATATATTTACTTGTTTACTAAATAATGAAAATTCCATTAATTTTATAGAAAGATCTAATGCTATAAATTTTACATTTGGAACAGATATAATCATTATTTTTAATATTCTTTCAGATAATATTTTATGGTTCCAAACAAAAACTCCTGTTTTTGTTATAATCTAAAGAAATAAATAGATATAAAAATTTGTATAACAATATAAAATACTAATAGAAATTAAGTACAAATGTATTACTTTAAAAATAGATGTTTGTACTAATGGTAAATCATAATATTTTATTGTTACAGGAAATGTTTGTAGATCCAAATTTTCTATGATATTTCTTTCTGTATGAAATTTGCTTAATATAATTCTATCTTCTTCTGAATTCATTCTATAAAATTCTGATATCTCTGAAATAATTAATGTTATTATAATATATATATATATTATTTTGAATACATACCTTCAAGAATATCCATATATTCATTGCTAATTGTTTCAAACATTGTGATATGATGTCTAGATAATATTCTAAGCATACATGCTTGTATTTCTATACTATTGTTGAGAATTTCATTACTTAAAGGATTTCCTACTAGATAAAACATAATGCCGAACAACCAAGTGGTAAATGCTATAATTAAAATAAATTATATTTTTATGAAATCTTATTAGATCATTATTAATTATTTTTTATAATTTTTTTACCAGTATATTGACATTTTAATGTTTCATTTTGCATCCCATTGCTGAAAGGTGGAACTAAAACTGTAGTTAAAGTAGCTGACCGTTTAATTATAGATTCCAAAAGAGAACAAAGAGTTTGTTTAGCGGTTGCATTTTTTAAATCAGAAAATATTGCAATTACAGGACTATTAATGAATTTCCATACCGAATCTGCCACTGTTACATGACTAGAAAAATTGTTTCTTTATTAATGTTTATATACAAAATTTTATTCATTATAAGAAATTAAACAAACTAATTTAATTACCTGGTATTATTTTGAATTGAATTAATTGAATTATCGTGTACTTCCATATTATAGTCTTAAATATGAAATATGAAATATATAAAATTAAATGTTACATTATAATAAAATGAAATTATTATCAAATATTTATTTATACAACGAATAGAAGATTTCGTTTAAAAATAATGTAAGTTGGATCTTATCACACCATATTCAATCAAATTGAATGTGATTCACTAAAAGCTTGTTCTCAAATCTAAAATGTTTTGATTCAGCGGTAAAATCATCATTTGAATTAACTTCATTTAAATTTTTCTCATGAAAATTTGGCTTTAGTGTTTATGCTAACCAATTTTTATGATTATATAGTTTCATCAATATTTTGTTTTTGTCAAAAATTAATTTTTTGCAAAATATATATAATAAAATAATACTGATTCGAATTAGTTACAACGCTTTCTTTGTACTTTGTTACAGATTTATTAATACTTTTATTATTTAACCTAATAAACTAATATTAACATATCTTACATTAGATTATTAGAAAATAATTAATTTTAGGTAAGTAATAATATTTTATATTCATCGAATTTAATATTTTGAATATTATAAAATAATGTTGCATTTTATATAATCTTTCAGAGGTTAATATAATTCAAATTTTAGATTTATTTAAAATAAATAATACATTCTACTATACAACTAAATATAAAAACTTATAATTAAAAATGAGTGAAAGTGTATCAATTAATGATGTACTTGAAAGTAATGGTGCATCAGAACAAGCCACTTACAATGGAGAAAGTGAAGAACATACAAGTATGTTAATTTTTTAAATTATTAATATTTTTAATTTCTATAAGTTTAAGAAATATTTTTTTATATTATTACTTAATTATAATAATTTATTTTTCAGACAAATCACCTGGAAGTGGAGAAGATAAAATACCTGATTCAATATGTGATAATGGAATTAAAAAAAATAATGTAACTCCTATAATTGGAAGTAATAATACAAATACAACTAATAGAGCTAAAAAGAGAAAGAAAACTCCTAGAGATGCTACTGCTCCAAAACAACCTTTAACTGGTTACTTCAGGTATATTTTTTTATAATTAAAAAAAATATAATTAAAATTAAAAGCATATTTGACAACAAATTTTTAAAAAACAGATTTTTAAATGATCGAAGAGAAAAAGTAAGAAGTGAAAATCCTACTTTATCATTTGCTGAAATTACAAAACTTCTTGCTTCAGAATGGAGTACTTTACCTGCTGATCAAAAACAACAATATTTAGATGCAGCTGAACAAGATAAAGAACGCTATAATCGTGAATTTAGTGATTATAAACAAACAGAAGCATACAGGTTGTTTAGTGAAAAACAATCTTCAGAAAAGCAACAAGAAAGCAAAAAAGAAAGAAATGGAACTGATATAAATTCTGAGCAAAATGTATAATATTTGTATCTTAATTAATTATTAATTTTGTTTCAATTTATTTATTATATAATTATTAATATTTAATATTTTACCAGGATATTCAACAAGATAAAGATAACGACTTTACAGGTTTTGATATACCTATTTTTACAGAGGAATTTTTGGATCATAATAAAGGTAAATAATTTTTTTTGAATCATCATATATAAAAATTTCTTTTATATAATTTTTATATATACAGCATGTGAGGCTGAATTAAGACAATTAAGAAAAGCTACTTCAGATTATGAAGCTCAGAATGCAGTGCTTCAAAGACATGTAGACAGTTTATATGCAGCTGTAAATCGTTTGGAATCTGAAACAAATCAACAACGCACGACTAATCAAGCTTTACAGCGTCATTTGGATTCTCTTCGTTCACAATTAGCTGGTTGCTTTGCTACAATATCTTTGCCAGGTTGAATCTGTATCTTAATTTTATATTTGTATTTTATATATTTATAATTAATGCTTATATGTTATTTGTAGGAATGAATGAAGGTGCAACATTACAAAATATAGATAATTACGTTGAAAGACTTGAATCATTATTAAATGGCAATGTTGAACAATCTTTACGAAACGCTGTACGTAATGCTGTATCTCGTCTTGAATTAATTGGATGACGATCACCTCCCGGTAGTACAGCTACTACATCAATGAAACATCATCGTTCAAGACACTCACATCGAAAATAAAAAAGAGTAATTGTGTTCTTTTTTATATATTTTGTAAAATATATTTTTTTTAATATTGTATGCTCCCTAGTTTAATAATTACAAATAATAATTTTCTTCCCAATTCATGATTATAAAATCATGATTTACTTTTTAAATAAATGTAATTTATAAAATATAATTGCATGAAATTACATATATAAATATTAATTATTAGATTAGACAATATAATCAATTCGTAGCATAATAACAAAATATTATTATGGTATTATCAAATATTTATTAATAAATTTTTTAAACTTATTAATGATTCGTTTTATTACTTTTTTATTAGATTTTGAAGTTGATTCCAAGAATATCTAAAAGAAAAGCATATTCATAATTATTCATAGTTCCTTTATAGATATATTTTCTTACCTGAAAGATGCTGCATTTGGACGTCGATTAATCTCCAAATTGATTAAAGTATGTTCGAGTTTTGATGATAAAATTTGTACTACTTCAGTTGATATTATTAAAATTGAATGTAAAAGTTCAAAAGTATTATGCTGATTTAATATTAATGATTTTTCAATAATACTGGATATCATATTATGAAACTTATCTCTATAATTGTTAATTCAATTTTTAATTTCTATTAATTATTATTTAAATCAAATGTCATAATGAATACTAATTACCGTAAAGTATTATCCTCTTTATAATATATATTGTTTATAATATTACTTATAAAATCAATAGTTTGTTGTTTGTGTGGATGATGATCATGGACTTTAATATAGCATTTAATAATATATGATGTGCAAATTAAAATAATGTGTTCTACAATATGACATGCATAATTTTTTTCACCTTTGAGTAAATTTTGTAAAATTATCATTACCTGCATTAATTATAAATGAATATTATTGTAATTATATATAAAATAATAATTATATGAATACATACCAAATAAGAATGTTTATGCATCATATTGTCATTTGAAATGGTAAAAAAATTTGTCATTAAAATTTCAAATATCAAACATATAAAATCTGTTTTTGCATCTTTAAAACATTTTAATAACGAATCAGATACTTTAAAAGTATTTGTATTAATAGTTGGAATTATTAAGAGTGGCATATATTGATCAAATAAATCTCGTATTATTATTTGAAGTGATATATCACTTCTAACATTAAGAGTTTCCATACCCAAAATTATCATAGAAAATGTTTTTTTCCCCAAATTTTTTAAAAAAGAATGTTCTAGTGATAATATAGTTTTATTCACTAATATTTTAAATATATTATTTGGTTGATTCTGAAGAATGATTTAAATTAATAATTAATATAATATATTAATAATATATATATATATACTCACTTTAGAATATAACATAATAGAAGTACAAAGAATTAATGTTCCAATACATCTATATATCCACAAAGCCAATTCCGAATCTTTAGTTTCTTCAGTAATGGGTAAAAGAATCCATTTTTCTAAATGACTAAAATATAATCTCCATTTCATATCATATTGAATTCGTTCTTGTTCAATCTAAAAAACATTAATATGATGATTATTTTATAATTAATTTTAATGCATTTTCTTTGATAAATAATAATAAATAAACATATACTTTTAAAGTGTTTCGTTTTTTCATAGAGTGCATTATAAATGTTAAAATAGATCCATCATTATTTTGAAATTCTTGAAGATCATTATATGTTTCAAATATATCTTGTATATCACTTAATTTCAATATATAATTTTGTAAAATTTTTATTTCATTTCCATTTGTACCATGACCAATGATAGAACATTTTATCCATGCCTAAAATTTAAACATAATATTATGAATATAAAATTCTTTATTATGAATTATATAATTAAAAAATATATTTTATAAATTTTATTTATTAACTTGTATAAGTATTGTATCAAAATTTTTTACTTCTTTTTTTAAATCATGAATTACTTGTTCCTGTTCAAGTATTAGTACCAAATAATATCTTGTAATTCTGAAAATGAAATTTTTATATAATAGTTTGATTATAACATGTGTTTAATATATAAATTTTCAATTTTATATAATCTGAATATAAATTTTTATTACCTTATGTCTTTAACAATTACTGACGATGCAAAATGCTGAAATAAAGACATAGCCGAATGCTTATGTTTTTTTGCTGTTGCTGGATTTCTTAATGCTTCCATAGTAAATAAAACTGCTAATTTTGAAATATATTGATAGTGTTCACTATTAACAACAGGATCAAAAACAAGTTGTCTTACTCTACAGGCAACATAACACCACAAAGCATCTAGTAATTGTCCTATATCACCTATATATATACACGAATTAAAAAGATACATAATTGCAATTTTTATATGATAAAAAAACAACAAACCTGTATTAGAAATCTTAGAAAGATAAATGCATTGTTCAAAAATATTAACTAGTACTTTCATTAATGTTCCAACCATTTTATTTGAACATTCTAATAAGTAACGATCTATCCATCCACTAAATAATAAATGTTGTCCTAATTCAATATTATTAGATGATAAAATTGTACTGAATACATCAATAAAATTATTCATCATTGAACGGGATATATCATCTTTACGACAACATATAGTGTTTATCTATAATATAAGTTCATTAGAATAAAGAAAATAAAATAAATTAATTAATAGAAATCAAATTTATATTATACCGTATCTATATATAAAGGTGCTATATTTGTTAAATTTAATCTAAAATCGTTATATAAAATAAGAACAGCTAGTTTTCCTTTCCAAATTAAATTATGTTTTTTACTATTTTCATTATTATATTCTTTTGTCAATGGCAAAAGATCTAACATTACTGAACACTGTAAAAAATAGTTATAAATTTATTTTTATAAAAAAAATTTCATAAAAAAAATCTTTAAAAACAATAACAGATGATTTACTTACAACATTTATAGTATCAGTAGTAACAGCTAATGTTAAAAATAATGAAATGAAATTATATAAACCAGTTATTGAAAATTCTTGAACTTTACCTTTTGAAAATTTAGAATAAATACGACCTTTAATTTGGTTCCAATATTTTGTATCATTATTACTATAATTTATGCGTAAAAAAGATCCTTTAACATAAGTATATATAAATAGAATTACTAATTTAGAAATAAATCATAGAAATTAAAAACTTACCAAGTAAACGTAAAAACATTCCATAACTTGATTCTTTAATACACTCTATATTATTAAGTCTCTCTTTTACTTGTTTAAGAAGATCCATAGCGGTTTTCCTACCAATAAATTCATTTAAAAACAATGGTGAAAAATATATATAAAACCATAAATTATTTACAAATACTTTTCAATTGATAATGTCCAAGGGCCAGATACTTGTAAGAGAAATGGTTCATCTAATCTTTTATGAAAGCAATCCCACAGAAGAGAAATAATTGAAACTCGTGGTTGCCACCAGTTGGTAACAATAATATTTAATAAAGGTATCATTATACATAATTCCTCATCAATTTCATCCCGTTCACCATCTTTTCCACCTTTAGAAATATATGTTTTCAAAATCTTCTCTAATTGTTCATAATTAGGCCTGATCTAAATAAATAAATAAATATAACAAAGTAATAAATATATTTGTTAACAATACTAACAAATAAGAAAGCAAATAAAATTAAAATATAGTTACTCGTGAACACTTAGATCCTAAATATATTCCATCATTATTGTATCCATATAAAAGCGAAAGATGATAAATAAGCCATAAACAGAATAATTCATTATTTTTACAAAGAAATTGTCCAATATTAGATGCATTTCTATTCAGCAATCCATCAATACATTCATTGATATACTTCCAGAAAGTCTAAAAAATAAACACAAAAATATATACATTATGAAAATTATAAAATACATTCATAAAAAATTTTTAATACCTTTGATTTCATTCTATCAGATAAACTATCAATAAATATTTGAAGCATGAGCCATAATTCACGAATGCAAGTACAATTATATGGAGTCTTTTGTTGTACATGAGTTAAAGGAATCTAAAACATATTGCAAAAGGATAAATATAAATATAAAATAATTAAATATAATAATAATATAATAATAATTTTTTTTAAATTTTTTTAAACTAATATACTTTTACCGTTTCAAATATTTTTAATGAAATATAAATTAAATCATTAATTATCATTGCTTGAATGTTTTCAAACTCATCCAAGTAGTTTTCAATTGAATATTGACAATATATATTCTTTGTATATATTAATGAAATAAAAAACCATCTTAATTCAATATGCATATGATACATATGATATTCTGGTTGTGTACACTGTAATATATAAAGTATAAAATTAATATGTTAAATATTATTATTTGTCTACAAACCTGATTGCCTAATTTAGAGGGTACATAATGAAATGTAGCATCAGGAATATTGTATATCCTTTCAAGGAAATGTTTTATTATAATAAATAATGAATTAAATTCTTCTTCAATATCCATCTTTATAGTTTTTATATCCGTGTTTATAGTTTCTAATGATAGATAGTTTCCTTTAATACTAATAAATGTATATATTTAATTTATAATCAATAACTAAGATGAAATATTTTGAAAAAATAAATTATCTTACCTATTCAAATACATTCGAACATACAAAATAAATTTTGATATAATACATCTAATATAATAAAAATCAATATCATGTGTTTTTGAACTTAAAACTTGATCATAAATCTCATGCCTGCTGAGTATTTTTAATTGCATGCTATTAAAATATAAATAAGATAATATTAATAAATATATTTTTAAAATAAATTAAAATAATTTATATTCATAAAAAAAATTTCTTACTTCATACACTTATTAAAATGTTTAAAATCCAAGAGAGCAGTTGCAGCTGGCATATTACAATCAAAAAGTTGTATATTCTTATCTAATAAAAAATATTTTTCTTGTGGATATAGAACATTTTCTACTTCTCCTTGTAAAAATAAACCATTTTTATCTAATTCCCAATCGTTAAAATTCACCTTTCCATTGCAATTGAAAGTAAAACAAAGATCCATGTGTATAATATTATTAAAGAAAATATAAATCCATTTCAAATATCAAATATCAACTTAAATTTAAACACATTTTTTTATATTTAAATCTAAAAAGTAATGTTTTTTTTGTAAATAATATATTAAATTATATTACAAATAATTACATTATTTTATACAATTATGAAGTTTTTTCAGATTAATAAATGTATCAACTACAAATAGACACTTTTTCCTAAGTTTTGGCGGTATTCATAAAAGTGCCATCTATAAAACTTATGACAACGCACGTGACTTCAAAATAAATATTTGTAATAATTTAATTTCTTTAAAATTTTATAGTAAATAACTTTTTTATAGTAAATTAAATAATTATCATAGTAATTAAAAAAATTATAAATCAAAAAAATAATACTAAGCTTTTTTAATCTCGTAGCAAATCGCATAACATTTTTAAACTTCTGTTTTTTTTCAATTATCAAATTTGTATCATAAGTAATTGATTTTCTACGGTTGGTTCTTCAAATTGTTTAATTAATTCGGGTGTTATTTTTTGCAAATTTGTGAGTACTTTTAATAATCGATTTTTTAATATGATTTTGCGAGCTACCTGAAGAAAGGGTAAAATTTTGCATTTATGGAAAAAGGAATCTTCTTTCTTAGACGGTGCTGATATTGAGGTTGGATACTAAAAAAAAAAAAAAAAAAAAAAAAAAAAATGGTTTATAAAGAATTCTTTTATTAAAAAAGAAAAATAATTTTTAATTAAGATAAATACTTTTTGAGAAACTCTTAAAATTCTTTGTCTTAGTTTTTCAACCTTTTGTTTTTCAAATAAACATTTTTCCGAGTTCATTATTAAATTTTTGTATTTATTCCATATTTGTTCTCGTTGTGTTTTAATTTCAATAATTTGATTTGGATCGAATTTTCCATAATTTACTTTTGGTTTGTGATGAAATTTTGTTTGCTCATTTTTTTGATAATAATCTTCTACTTTTACTAAAAATTTTTTTAACTTTTTCATTTTCTGATCCATAGTTTGAAATAAAATGGTACCCAATGCTCCTAATAAATAAATAATTTATTTTTTTTATATAAAAATATATATATAAAATTTCTAACCCTTTAATTCATATTTGTTGTATGATTTTCGAATTTTCAAATTTAAAATACAATTAACAGCATGCAAAGTATTCGAGGGAAAATAAGCACATTGTTTTAACAAAATATTTTCAAAACTCATATATTTTATAGAAGAATTATTTAAATAATATTTTGGTTTATCCTTTTTTATGGGAATTGGCTTTATTTCTTTGTAAATATTTGTATCAATTTTTTTTTTATGTATTTGACTTTTCATTTTCAATTTGACGTTTTCCAATTTTTCTCTAATCATTTAATATTTATTTTAATTACATTTATCTGTATGTTTATTTATTTTTTTATTTTTTTCTAATAAAAAATTATATCTATGCAAATAATCTTACCGTAAAAGGCCTGGTCGAGTATACGCATAGAAATTTATAACATATGGAATTTTGCATAAATCTGATATGAATATTCGAATTTGAAAATTCATACTTATATATCGAAGTGGTTTATAAATAACCATAATTGTTACTGGTTTTTCCTTTGGTTTTATATGACCTAAAATATATGGATAAAATATAATATTTTGTAAAATAATAATAATTCAAATTAAAAGAATTAAAAAAATTAGATGAACCCCATCGAGGATAAATGTCGACACATGATTCTTCGTTAGATAATATAATTGAGAAAGAAATTTCTTTTTCTGCATGAGAATATATTGGTATTTTATAATAAGCCCTTCAACAATAAATAATTAAATTTACTATACAAATCAAATAAATAATTAAAGAATAAACTTACATTCGACCAAGTGGTACATTTCCAAAATTGATAGTAGTAGGAAATGAAAATTTAGGTTTCATTTTTGCACAAACTTTTATTTGCATCATTTGATTATTCAAATACCGTATTTTTAAAACATCATCATAATTTTTATTTTCATCAGGTATAAATAGAATATTTATTTTGAAAACCGATCCAGGATTAAGCCATATTATTCTCTATAATATAAATAAATTTTATAAAATATGAAGTATCAAACAAATGATCAAAAAATTTTAATTCCTGACTTACTTGAGAAATATTTTTAATTCTAAAATATTGAGTTTCTAGTGGTAAAAATTGAATGGGACATGGTTTCGAAAAGTAGTTTGCAATTTCTATTGTTTTTTCTTGAATTTTAAAATTATCAGAATCGAAAGTAAATTTTACTTTCGAAGGTATTACGTTTAATGTGCCATTTTCTAATTCTATTTTAAATTTATCTACATATTTTTTTTTAAATTTATCTATACAATATTGAGTTTGATTAAATATATCAATATCCATATCAGCGTAGAAAATTAATATGTAAAAATATTATTTAGCCAGAAATGAGTTCTTTTATTTATATATATAATATAACAGAAAACAAATGAAAAATAAACATGTGTCATTTGATATAATTTTAAAGAAACAATTCAATTTTCGCGCGAGTGTAGCGTTTGCATTTTCATCTGTTTACAAGCTTCTGATAATTTGACAGTATAAGGATAGAGTGCACTATGAGAAGATAGCTGTAACTGTTTATATTTGAAGATACAATTATTATGCATATTTTCGTAATTTATTTACATAAATGATACCGCTATTTATTTGAAAAAGCAGTTGAATTAACAATATGCTTTTAATAAATTGCCGATTGCAAAAAGAAAATAACATCTTTAATGATACTTGTGAAGTATGACTCACTCTACTATGTCAGTTTTTTACGGTTCTATAACTATGTTTTTATAAATACTTCTGTATTTGTATAAATTGAAAATCTCATTAATCATGAACGTGCAGGAATTGCGTGATGGGGTATGTTGTCTTATTCTTTTAAATAAATGCATTTCATTAAAAAATTTTCAAATATATAAATTATAAAATCGGAGGTTATATTCATGTGTCAAATATTCGATTTGCTTCGAATTTTTTATAATATAATGATTTTATTTACATTTTATCCTACAGTATTATTAATTTAAAGTTCAAAATCTTTAAATTAATATAAATCTATTTCATAAATATCTATTATAACTAAAATATTATTTAGTGTAAGTAATTTTCTAGTATTTCAAATTATTTTTCTTTATTAAGTTTTTTATATTATCTATTAGTATTATTTCTTGTTTTTTATTTAAAGATTTATTTTATTATATTTTTGTAAAAATAATTAGAGCTATATATAAAATATATATGTATTTTTAATATTTCTTGAGATAAAATATAATATTTTTACAGTCTCCTTTACTACAAGCCATATTTTTTGGAGATGTAGATGAAGTTCGAGCATTATTAGCAAGAAAAGAAGATCCAAACTGGCAAGATAGGGAACAACGATCTTTATTACATGCAGCTGCATATAGGGGAGATCCAGCAATTGTAGAAGCACTCCTATTAAATGGAGCTGCAGTAAATGCTAAAGATAAGAAATGGTTAACTCCTTTATATAGAGCCTGTTGCTCAGGGAATCATAATGTAGTAGAAGTTTTGTTACGCCATAAAGCAGATGTCAATATCAGGGATCGTAGTTGGCAAACTCCTTTACATGTGGCAGCTGCAAACAATGCTGTCCAATGTGTAGAATTGATAGTTCCACATTTAATGAACATTAATGTAGCAGATAGGTTTGTGTTTTTAATTATTTAATTACTAATTAATTATATCAAATAATTACTAATTAATTTTAAGTATAAATTAATAATTTCATAAAAATTTGCAGAGGTGGTAGAACAAGTTTGCATCATGCAGCTTACAATGGACATTTGGAAATGACAGAATATTTAGCTCAAATTGGTTGTGTAATAAATGCTTCTGATAGACAAGATCGAAGGGCTTTACATTTTGCAGCATATATGGGTCATGATGGAATTGTGAGAGCGCTTATAGCAAAAGGAGCAGATGTAGATGTTAAAGTAATATATTTTTAATTTTTTTTTTATTTAGTTTTTATTTCTGTTATTTATATTATAAAATATATATTTTAAAATATATATTTATATTTATATTATTAAGGATCGGGATTTATATACTCCATTGCATGCAGCTGCAGCATCTGGTAATGTAGAATGCATGCATACATTAATCAAATCTGGAGCGGATATTGAAGCAAAAAATGTATATGGAAATACTCCTCTGCATATTGCATGTTTAAATGGCCATGCTGATGCAGTTACAGAGTTAATTGCTAATGCTGCAAACGTTGGTAAGATTATTTTAAATTTTAAAAATATTTTCATCTATGACAAATTATCAAAGTCATTTTTATTTTATAATAAATTATTCTTTATGTAATAGAGGCTGTAAATTATCGGGGACAAACGCCATTACATGTTGCTGCTGCTAGTACACATGGTGTTCATTGCTTAGAAGTCCTTTTAGAAGCTGGTTTGAGAATAAATGTTCAATCAGAAGATGGACGTACACCTTTACATATGACTGCAATCCATGGAAGATTTACACGATCAAAAAGTTTGCTTGATGCAGGAGCATCACCAGATACTAAAGATAAAAATGGAAATACTGCTTTACATGTTGCTGCTTGGTAAATTACAATATAATTTTTTTATTTAACAATTATTTTCAATATTTAAATCCAAAATTTTTTTCACATAGGTTTGGCCATGAATGTTTAACAACAACTTTATTAGAATGTGGTGCATCTCCAGCAGCGCGCAATACTGAACAGCGTACTGCGTTACATCTTAGTTGCTTGGCAGGCCATATTGAGGTAGAATATTCCTTTATATATATAATAAAAATATTTCTAAATATACATTCTAATATTTTTGTTAAATATTAATTTTTTAAATAAAATTTATAGGTCTGTAGAAAATTATTACAAGTTGATAGTCGACGTATAGATTCAAGAGATATTGGTGGTAGAACACCATTACATTTAGCAGCATTCAAAGGATCTGTTGATTGTTTAGATTTATTATTATCCAGTGGAGCTAATTTCCGATTAACTGACAATGATAGCAGGTTAGCACTCCATCATGCTGCTAGTCAAGGTCATTATCTTTGCGTTTTTACTTTAGTTGGATTTGGAAGTGATTCCAATGCACAAGATGTAGATGGTGCAACTCCTTTGCATCTAGCTGCAGCATCAAATCCTACAGATTCTGGTGCTGAGTAAGTATTTGAATATACATATATAATGTATTTATTATAAATGTATTTTTGAAAACTTATCTATATCGTTTTTTTTTTTTTTTAGATGTGTACAATATTTATTGAAGCATAGAGCAGATCCGCGTTTACGCGATAAACGAGGTTTTACTGCTATTCATTATGCTGTAGCTGGAGGAAATCAACCAGCTTTAGAAGCTTTATTGGAAGCTTGTCCACCAGGAAATTTAACAATATCATCTAATTCTACAGGAAAATCGGAACCTCCATTACCTGCATTAACATCTTTACATCTTGCTGTAAGTATAGACAAACCAATTTAATATGTTCAATAATTTAAAATGTATTTATATGCATTTATAGGCATATCATGGACACAGTGAAATATTAAGCTTATTATTACCATTATTTTCTAATACTAATATTAAAGAAGATACTGGTAAAACACCTTTGGATCTAGCTTCTTATAAAGGTCACGAACAATGCGTTCAACTTTTGTTAAGATATGGGGCTTGTGTGTCAGTTCAGGATTCCATTACAAGACGTACTCCAGTACATTGTGCAGCTGCGGCAGGTCACTTTAATTGTTTAGAACTTTTATTAGAAAATACAGAAGATTCAAATGTCGTCAATTGTTATGATACAAAACAACGAACTCCGTTAACATTAGCAGTGGCAAATAGCAATCCAGAATGTGCTCTGTTACTTTTAAAATATAAAGCAGATTGTAATTTACCAGATGTGAATAAGCATACGCCATTATTTCGAGCAGTGGTTAAAGAGCGTGATCATCAACTAGTGGAATTATTGTTATCACATGGTGCCCAAGTAATGATACAAGATGCAAATGGTAAAACTCCGTTACATTTAGCCGCCGCATGTGGAAGGTAGATGTTTTTTTTAAATTAAAGAATTTATTTATATTTTCATTTATAAATTTGAAGTTAATTTTTTCATAGAGTAAAAGCATTGGCTTCTCTTGTCAAAGTTAATTCAACCGCTGCCACTTTAAAAGACGATCAAGGATGTACGGTTCTTCATTGGGCATGTTATAATGGGAATTCGAATTGTGTTGAATATCTATTGGAACAAAATGTAATTGACTCCTTAGAGGGCAAGTATTTCTCGATATTTTAATTATTTATATTGAAATTATTATATTTTTTTAAGTTAATTTTTAGATATAAATTATTTTTTTGTATACAGGTAATCCATTCTCAGCTGTTCACTGTGCAGTTTATCAAGGATCAGCTCATTGTTTAGAATTATTAATAAATAAGTTTGGAGGAAAAACCGTTGCTGCTCCGAGAGATGTTCCGGGTGGTCGATTGCCTTTACACGTTGCAGCTAGTTCAGGATCTGTAGAATGTGCAAAACTGATTTTAAGCTCTGTTGGACCTGAGTTAGCTGGTCTTGAAACTCCAGATTATTCAGGTCGTACACCTCTTCTTTGCGCTGCTATTACGGGTCAATGTAGTGCTATCGGTAAGCACTCGCTTTTATTTTTAATTATCTATTTTTAATTATCTATTTTTTTTACATTGATATAATTTTTTACCCATAGAGTTATTGCTTGAATGGAAAGCTGATGTGCGTGCTGTTGATTGTAATAAGAATACAGCTCTTCATTTAGCTTGCCAAAGACGACATTCTGCTGCTGCTTCATTATTATTAAATTGGATTAATTCGCTTAATACTAATGGTGAAAATACATCACAACAACAACAAAGTATGACAGTTATTAATATGACTAATAAACAACAAAGAACTCCATTGCATTTAGCAGCAAGAAATGGTCTTGTAACGGTAAGAAATAATATTTTACTTTTAATTGTTTGAAGTGTAAGAATAATTAGAGGAATTTATCTTTTATAGGTAACACGACGTTTATTGCAATTGGGTGCAAGTGTTGTCGCTGTCGACGCAGAAGGACTTACACCTGCATTAGCTTGTGCTCCAAATCCAGCTGTAGCACGATGTTTAGCCACTATCCTTGCTGCACATGGTATATAAATTAATTCTATATAATTTTTATTTTCTTTCTATTAAGTTATTTATTTATTTACTAATTATTTGTTGTCACAGGTCAAAATTGGGAAATTGCACAACATTCACCGTCAATTCAACAAACATCAGAAGTATATTTAAATGGCAGAAGCGGCGATTCACAACATAGTTCAGATTCG